TCTGATAAGGGGTTAATTTCCAAAATTTATAAAGTACTCATACAACTCAAAAAAGGAAGACAAACAACCCAATTAAAAAATAGGCAGAGGACCTGAGAATAGACACTTCTCTAAAGAGGACATATAAATGGCCAAGAGACATATGAAAAATGTCCAACGTCACTAATTAGTAGAGAGATGCACATTAAAATGACAATGAGGTACCATCTCACACCTGCCAGAATGACTATCATCAACACATTAACACAAGTGCCGGCGAGGATGTGGAAAAAAAGGAACCCTAGTACACTGCTGGTAGGAATGCAGACTGGTACAACCACTATTGAAAACAGTATGGAGTTTCCTCAAAAAATTAAAAATGGAACTGCCATTTGACCCAATAATTCCACGTCTAGGAATCTATCCTAAGAAGCCAGAAACACCAATCAGAAAGAATGCATGCATCCCTATGATCATAGCAGTATTATTTACAACTAGAGGCCCAGTGCACGAAATTCATGTGTGTGTGGGGGGGTGGTCCCTCAGCTCAACCCGCACCCTCTCCAATCTGGGAGTCCTCAGGAGATGTCCTACTGATGGCTTAGGCCTGCTCCCGGTGGTTCTCTGCTCTCTGCAGGGCTTGCCTGATCCACACCACGGCAATAGGCAAGCAGGCCCTGCTGGGTGCTGCCTGCATGCCATGCTTGCCTACTCGCATGTCGCTATGTCAATGACCAAGCAGGCCCTGCTGAGTGCTGCCTCTGGGCCACACTTGCCTGCTCACGGGTCACTGCGGCTACAGCCAAGCAGGCCCTACTGTCTGCTGTCAAGCTGCACTGCCGGACCCGCCTCAGGGCGGGTCGGCTGCGCCACCCACCCTGGAGTTGCCAGTCCGGCCCTGCCTGGCTCCCCTGCCCCGCAGGTCCCACCCCGCCTCTCTCTCCAGCCCTTGAAGCAGCCTCAGAGGCTGCTGACATATCCTCCTCCAGTGCAGACCCCTGCACCCCACCCCCGATGCTGCATGCACAGCCTTCTCCTGTCCAGTCGATCCGTTATGGCATCCCAGTTAATTAGCATATTTCTCTATTTTAGATAGATAGATAGATAGATAGCTCGCTCTGGAAACAGCCCAAGTGCCCATCAGTAGATGAAAGGATAAAAATGCTGTGGTACATTTACACCATGGAACAATATGCATCTGTAAAAAAGAAGGCTCTCTGTCCCTTTGAGACAGCATGGGAGAACCTGGAAAGTAATTATGCTAAGCAAAATAAGCCAGCCAGAGAAAAACAAGTATCATGTGATCTCACTTATATGTGGAATCTTCTGAACAAAATAGACCCAGAGACATTAACGGCTGCAACAGACTGACCAATTTCAGAGGGAAGGGGGTGAGGGTTGGGAAGAGATTAACCAAAGAACTTATATGCATATATGCATAGCTCATGGACAGATAATAGTACAGGGAAGGCCTGGGGAGGGGGTAGGTGTAGGGTGGAGGGAGTTAATGGGGGGAGAAAAGGGGACATCTGCAATACTTTCAACAATAAAGATAAATTTTAAAAAATAAAAAAGATATGTTAGACACTGTTGCATAACCAAGAGATATTCCAAAGTCACCTGCAATCAGCTTGGCATAAAGTAATTATGCTGTCATTCTGTCTGACACTGACAGTGTTTAAGACTTAGCTCATTAGCCCAATTCTGGCTAATAAGATCTAAATCACAGTCTGCCAGAGTCTCTAGAAAAAATTTTTTATCAAAAAATAAAAAGTTGTGTGGAAAAAATGCCCCTCTTCTTCAATGGGCGAAATAGTTCTATCTTCCTTGTATTCCTGTATCTATTTTATAACGTCAGTAGGAGAGAATATGACCTACCTATAATTAGCTATGGGTTTCTTATTAGATCAGATAATAATCACCCTAAGAGTTTAAATCACCTTTCATCAAGTATTCTAATTACTACTAAAATTTTTTTTCTATTGATATAAATGGGCTGGCAGAGATAAGAAGAAACACATTAGCCCCTATGTAAATATGAATGATGATGGTGATGATAAAAAATGCCAACAGCTGACACAAAATGTTCATATGTGCCATGACATTTACAAAATTCCCATATCTGACCATTTTCATATAACTCACCTGTTTCAGAACACTCCATGAAAAAGGTATTATTATCACAGAATTTTACAGATACTAAACTGACACAGATAAAGTGGAGTGGGAGAGGCAGGAGGGAAGGGTAAACAAACTATGTAAATTTCTTATGTTATGTTTATTATTAACATGAATATGCTGCAATTATGTTTATAAAATGTTGCCAACACTTATACCTTAGATATTCTTTATATAATAAGCTTTGTTGATGACGAATTACTGCAAATTTTCTGTTATACTCTTCAAGAGAATCTTCTAAATCCTTTAACTTATTTTCTTTATATTCTAGTTCCTAAAAATGGGTTTAGAAATAAGAATGTAAAAAACAACAGAATACATTTTAAATCTGAAGGTAGAAATTTATATTCTGGCAAGAGTATAGAGAACTATATAAAGGAGAAAAATCACCTTAAGTAACACAGATCATTTCTATGATTATTGTGAATATCTTTGTTTAAGGCATATGGAATGAGACAATATATGTAAAAGAGAAGTACTATAAAACAGGTAAAATTAATTTTATCATATATGATAGTTACAGTAACCACACAAAGATGCAGTAGTTATATACTTACCTTAGGTCACTCAGTCCCACATACCCTTTCATGAACATCCTATATAATAAAAGGCTAATATGCAAATTGTCCCCTTGGGAGTTTGACTGCTTGCTATGACATGGGCTGACCACCAGGGGGCAGCGCGGAATAAAAGTCCTAGCCAACAGCCAGAAGGGCCCGATTGGCCCTGATCACTGGCTAGGCCTAAGGAACCCTTCCTGTGCACAATTTCATGCACTGGGCCTCTAGTATCCTATCTAATAAAAGAGAAACATGGTAATTAGCCGTACCTCCACTACCCTTCCCATTGGCTAATCAAGGTGATATGCAAATTAACTGCCAGCCAAGATGGCGGCCGGCAGCCAGGCAGCTTGAAGGGAACAGGAGGCTTGCTTGCTTCAGTGACGGAGGAAGCTAACGTTCCCCACCTGCCGCTGCCAGTCTCTGAGCTTGCAGTTTGAAATATTGTTACAAATATAGAAGCTAAACAAAACCCCAGAAACCTGCTTTCAGCCAGACGGGATCTCAGAGCTGGAGTTGAAACAGTGTTTCGATTATAGAACCCAAACAAACCAGATACCTGCTTCCAGCAGCCAAGGGCTCAGAGCTAGAGGATGGAGCCAAGCCTCAGAGCTAAAGCTGGCCCAGAATAAAAAAAAGAAAAAGAAAAAAAGGAGCAGTTGGGAGCTTCAGTCACCCGCCTGCCTAAAAACAGCCATCAGCCCCTCACCCAGACTGGCCAGGCACCCCAGTGTGGACCCACACCCTGAAGGGTGTGTGACCAGCTGCAAACAGCCATCATCCCCTCACCCAGGCTGCCCAGGCCCCCCAGTGGGGACCCCCACCCTGATCCAGGCCACCCTTCAGGGCAAACCAGCCGGCCCCCACCTGTGTACCAGGCCTCTATCCTATATAGTAAAAGGGTAATATGCCTCCCAGCTCCAGGATAAGCGGAGCCGCGGGGCCTCCCGGCACCGGGATCAGCGTGACAGGGGGCAGCACCCAAACACCCTGATCGCCCTGTGGCTCTGTGTGCGACAGGGGGCGGGGCCACAACCTCCCTATCCGCCCTGCTCTGTGTGTGACAGGAGGCGGTGCCCCAACTTCCCTATCGGCCTTACTCTGTGAGTGACAGGGGGGAGCTCCTCAACCCCTGATCGGCCCTGCTCTGTGCATGACAAGGGGGAGCTCCCCAACCCCCTGATTGACCCAGCTCTGTGCGTGAAAGGGTATGAAGCGCCAACCCCCCTGATGGGCCCTGCTCTGTGAGTGACAGGGGGCAGCGCCCAACCCCCTGATTAGCCCTGCTCTGTGCGTGACAGGGCGTGGCGCCGCAACCTCCCCATTGACCCTGCCTTGAGTGTGACTGGGGGCGGTGCCCCAACCCCCCAATCGGCCCTACCCTGAGCATGACTGAGGGGGGCATTGCAACCTCCCGATCTGCCCTGCTCTGTGCATGACAGGGGGCGGCGCCCCAACTCCCCAATCAGCCCTGCTCTGAGCCCAACCATGGGCTGCACCTAGGGATTGGACCTGCCATCTGCCACCCGGGAGCAGGCCTAAGCCAGCAGGTTGTTATCTCCCGAGAGTTCCCAGACTGCGAGAGGGCACAGGCCGGGCTGAGGGTCCCCCCTTCCCCCCCGAGTGCACAAATTTTTGTGCACCGGGCCTCTAGTTCTATATAATAAAACCCTAATATGCAAATCAACCGAACGGCGGAATGACCAGTTGCTATGACACACACTGACAACCAGGAGGCAGACACTAAACACAGGATCTGCCCCCTGGTAGTCAGTGCTCTCCCACGGGAGAGTGCCGCTCAGCTAGAAGCCAGGTGAGCGGGCATAAGCTGGCAGGTGGACATTCCCCAAGGGGTCCCAGACTGCGAGAGGGCGCAAGCTGGGCTGAAGGACCCCCCCAACCCCGTAGTGCACAAATGTTGTGCACTGGGCCTCTAGTGTGTGTGTGTGTGTGTGTGTGTGTGTGTGTGTGTGTGTGTATATATTTCTCCACTTGAATTATCCTAACTAATTCTTTTCAAAGATGAAGAAACTGAGACTTAGATTAAGTAACTTACTCAACATTAAAACTCATTATCAGTACCTTTAGCAACCATTTCCTAAGCATTAATGCTGAGTTTGGTGCCAGATACCTTAAATATATGTACATGCAACACTGTAGGTCATGTCTGTCTGACTCCAAAGGCCTTGCTACTTCCCTTACTGTATGCTGTTTTAGGATTGAAGTCCAATTACCTGTTTTACCACTTTGAAAAGGTTTTCAGATTCCCAATCAGAGGTCTCTCTCTATGCTACCACAGTGCTTCTCATGTTTTTTTATATAAAGACTAGAGGCTCGGTGAACGAAATTCATGTAGAGGTAGGGTCCCTAGGCCTGGCCAGTGATCATGGCCGATCGGGGCCTTCCTTCTTTGGCTGCTGGCTGCCGGCTGGGGCCTACATTAAAAGTAATGTATAATACTAACTATACAGTGATGTTCTAAGTAGTTAAGGTTGTAGTTCCCTAAGATAACATATAAATTCCAATATCCAGAAAAAGATTCATTAATGTAACTTCCAAATATAAAAATAAGAATTTGATAATCTTAACTCAAGTATATTCAGAAGTGAATTATCTAGGAAAGGAAAACAGAAGTGCTTATAATAAAAAATATATTCTCACTTATTTTGAACTCATTTTTTCTAATTATACTGTAATGTATGTAATGTTATGAGTTGTCACACTTCAAATGAAATAATAAAAAGCATCCTTCGTGAGGCCATTCATAATGACCACGATATAGATGGCAAAACTGAGAAACAGAGGGCAAGCAGTCCACAATCTTATTTGCTGATGGATTAACTAACACTCTACAGAGTAAATGAAAAAAAAATAAATAAAGGAGAATTTATTTTTCTTCTTCTTGCAGTTAAAAAAAAGGAGTAATTTTAACCGTCATACTAAAAAGCAGTGTCAGACTTTATTTACTTCAATTGCTTTTCTAACCAGCAATAAACAAAAGTGCCCATGTTAGCCCTGGCCAGATGGCTCTTTTGGTTGGAGCATTATCCTATATATCAAAAGATTGTGGGTTCGTTTTCCAGTCAGGGCACATATCTAGGTTGAGTGTTTGATCCCAGGTTGGGGTGTATTCAGGAGGCAACCAATTGATGTCGCTCTCTGTGTCTGTCTGTCTGTCTGTCTGTCTCTCTCTCTCTCTCTCTCTCTCTCGTCCTTCCTCACATTTAAAAAACATATCCTTAGGTGAGGATAAAAAAAAATAATTAAATACATAAATAAAAGTGCTCACTTCATTTATACATTACTAGGTTAGAGCAGCTGTATATTATTCCAACCTTCAATCATATATTTTATATAAATAATATCCAGTGAACAAGATGTGTCAGTACGCTTCTCATGCAGATAAATGGAATAAATTAATTTTATCCATAACATTCCATCTAACATCAAAATCCATTAAAATATATCTCTGTTAATATGTTAAGAACTCAAAAAATATGTGAAGACTAAGTTGAAAAATATACTATCAATTGTTATTCAGATATAAAAATTTCAGTACCTGTAAAATATGTATTAAATATTCATTCAGAGAATTAATAATATTGGCACTAGATGGTGCTATTCCATCAGGTAAGTCTACTCCTTTAAAAACAACATTTGATCCTTCTGATTTCCGCAAAAGATTGGTTTCTTTTTCAAGATGATCAATCTGGAAACAAAGAGTTCAGGAATGAGAATCACATCTCTTATACCCAAAGGAAGACAAATTTAAAAGCAGTAACTGAATATTTTTTTAAAGTAGATATATGAATGCCCTGTTATATTATAAGACACTTATTTTTCCACTTAATTTTATAAGGAAAACCCAAACAGGTGTTTTCTTAATGATGAAATAATTAATTCAAGGGGCATTTTCTAATAAAGTAGTCATTTTTTAAAAAATTAGAAGTTTCATATTAGACCCACGTTCAGTGCTTAACGTTATCTTTTATTTGATAAAATTCTCACCTTTAAATTTGCTTTTGCCAGCTGCTGAGAGTAATTTATAGCCTCCTTCCGAGCTTCCCTGAGCTCCTGTCTTAATTCTTCATTCCTCCCAGTAAATTGGTCAACTTGGGTTTTCAAATGGAGATTGGCATCAAAGATTCCTTCTGCATTCTTTGATTCCATTGCCTAATAGATTTAGGTTATATTTCAGAAATGTGAAAAAAATTAAAATCATAGTTTAAAAATCTACTTTTAAATAAAATTCACATTTAAGCATTTTACTATTCCCACTGCCATGTATAATAACAAAATAAGCCAAATCTGTTTCTTATTAATGAATTTAAATTTATAAAACTATTTTAACTTACAACAGTATTACCAAGTTTAGTAACTACTTTACTATAAAAATTAGCAAACATCTAGCTAACCTTAGTAGACTGGTAGCCTAGTAAATCAACTGAATAGGAACAGGATGACAAGGGTTCATATCTTAACCAATCTCTTACTAGCTTGGCAAGTGACTTAAATTCTTTATACTTTAGTTTCCTTATCTCTAAAGAAGAGTAAATAATATTAGCTCTGTCAACTTCACAATATTGGCAGTCAAAATGAGATATACATGAAAATACTTTGAAACTATGGAGCACCTGAATTTAAAGCATGAGCAAATAAATGAAAGTTACTACATCCAATTAAGTGAATTTTCCATTGCTTTCTCTCCACAGTTGAAGTACACATGGTAACAAAGGCAAAGTATGATAACATTGTATTATCCAAGAGTGCTAGGTAAGCAAAAGTAATATGTCAAAATATTAGAATATCAAAGCGCCTTCATTGGCCTAATTCTCCAACTATCATAAATCTAAACACACACACACACACACACACACACACACACACACACACACACACACAAACATTATGACTTTAAAAGAACTCTATGGAAGAAACCTGTTAAATGCAAAGTAAAGCTTCAGAAGTGAAGGCTGAAGACAAAGTGGTAGGATGAGTAAAACCAAATGTAATCTCATACTCAGGAAGGTGAACTGGTGTTGAACTCTGGGCAGCAGATTTATAAAAGGAAGCCTTTACACTAAGAGCTCAGAGAGGGACATGTAAAGTAACAAGATATACTAATTCAAAAGGATACCAGGAAGACAGAAATAGGCAGAAGGGGATTTCTGACAGACAACAAAGTAAGTCTAGTTAGTTCTAAGAAATAGCACCATGCCGTCTACATGGTCTTTTGGTAAAATAATACTAAATTAGATAGTGACTCAGGGCACTGAAAAAAAAACCAAAAAAAAACCTGTAACAATAGAAAGTGAACTGAAGTGCATAAACCAGAATTATCTAATCTCAAGATTCTGAAGATTTCTTACAAGGAGGTATTATTAGGTTATTTGTGAGTTTTAGACAGGGATATATTTCAGAAAAAAAGAATGACAACCCAGAATAAATGCAGATAAAAACCTAGGGAAGCAGTGGCTGTAGGAAGGCCAGGGACTATGAATTGAAATAGAAGTAAAAATTTGTTAGTCTATTCATTTACTAAATAGTTTCCCTTGAACTATTTATGATAGTTGGAGAATAAAGTTTGATCTGAGATATAATATTAGTAGTGGGCAGCATAATAGACAAAAGATAAAATCATTTTAGACATTCAAAATAGCAGAGGCAAAAGAAAAGTCAGAATGAGTAACACATAGAAGGAATCAAATTGTTCTCATAACTTATGTCAAATGGTTTTCTTGCCTCAGGAAGTTTTCATCATCTTTCTCTCTCTCTCCTAATAATATAATGTCATTAAAAAAAAGTATTCAACTATTGACTGGTCATCATTAAAAAAACAATTCAATGAATAATGAGGTGTTTTTAATCATTTAAATCAACCACAAATTTGGGAAACAACATAAATGTGGTCAGATTACATAAACAACATAGTAAAAATCTAAATATAAAATGCATATTTTATTAAAGTTTATCTAATATCATTAATACTGTGAAACTTTTTAAGTCCTTATATGGTAAATATAAATAGAATACTATTGATAGCTAAAATATTTCCTGTAGCAATACTTAATTCTTTATATATTTAAAATATTCTTACTACAATCTATTACACTTCTAGTTTTGTGGCATAAGATCCTAATAGACCTACCCTCCCACATTTAACAAGTAAATACAAAAACATTACTTAAAGGTTCTAGAAAATAAACAAAAGCAAACAGATTTTGGAGAGGACTTGTTACTTTAAAAATGGCAATAGCCAGGAGTGATTTGCCATTTTTAAAGCTTTCCTCTGAGGGCAGTCTGCAGTTGCAATGACCTGTCAACTTTCTGGCCTAGAAAACCAGAGGTCACAGCCAGCCTAAAGCCACACAAAAGAAAAAAGCTAGCAAAAGGGATTTTCAAATTCTGTGTAAAAACTATGCCAGGTCTAAGGCTGACTGTTGAGGCAGAAGAATGGAGTTGACAGAGGCAAGTATCAGTGAACCTAAAGAAAAAGCAATAGCAATTACACAACTGGGAGAAGAAAAAAGTAACAAATTAGGAAAAAAAATGAACCAGCTTCAGGGACCTCTGGACATCAAAAGGTCTAAAATGTTTCACTGGGGCTCTGGATGGTGTGGCTCAGTTGGTGGGAATGACGACCCAGACACCAAAAAGTGACGGGTTCTATTTCTAGTCAGGGCATATACCCAAGCTGAGGTGAGGGTTCGATCCCTGGTCCAGGCACATTCAGGAGGTAGCCGATCTATGTTTCTTTGTTTCTTTCTCCTTTCCTCTCTAAAATAATTTTTTTTTTAATTAAAGAACATACTCTCTCTTATAAAAAAAAATATAGTGTTTCACTGGAATTCCAGAGAGAATCATACAGAAAAAAGTAATTAAAGAAATTAGTGGTAAAAAACTTCCTAATTGTGGTGAGTAACATTAAGAAAACAGATTCAAGAAGCTCAGCAAACACCAAACAAGATACATATACATAGATACATATACAAATGTGTGTGCATACACACAGGCACATTATAGTCAAACTGGTAAAAAACAAATATAAAGAGAAAGTTTTGAAAGCAGCCTGAGAAAAAAAATACACATTACATACAGGCAACAATGACTCAGCTGACAGCAAATCTCATCAGAAACTGTCTAGACTAGTAGACAGTGAACAATATCATTAAAGTTGATGAAACAACAAAATGAAACCATTAATATAAAAACATAACTTACATTAACTAGTCTTTCAAGACTAGGAATTATTAGAGATGTTTCTCCTCCATTAACATCAGGATCTTTCTGCATTTCCTTAATAGCTTGCAATATTTCTTTCATACCTCCTTCAAGTTGTTTATTTTCTTCAACTAATTCTTTTACTATAATGACATATGTTTCTCATTGAATGAATAAATTTTACACCATTTGCATTATTTTATATCGATGACAAGTAGTTCAAGTATAGGAAAAATAACTCATTTGTAAAATGCAAATAAATATACAAAAAAAGTTCAACTATAAATCCAATGTGTGAATAGTTGAGCTAAATGATATACATATTGAAATTATATACATATACATATCTCATAGCTCAAAGAAATAAATCATAAGCATATTTGCCTTCACTTTATTAAATTTTTTAAAAATGTGTTTACTTTCATTAAAGAATAAAACAAAAAAATTAGTTATTTATAATCATAAAAATATTCAGACTAAGAACATTCTCAGACTATGAATACAGCAAAGCAAACCAAATGGATGAAAGAGAGAAACTAACATCTATACCTTATAGAGGTAAGACTAAAACAGATTAGAAAACAGAATGTATTAAAGTCCTTTCAGATCCATGATTTTCAGTATAAGATAAATAGGTAAAGAAAAATAAGAGATAATAGTAACTTACATTTACTCTGAAATTTGGCTATTATTGTTTTACTTCTTTCTAAATCTCTTTCTTTTTCAATTAGTTCTCTTGAAAGAAATTCACACTGAACAAAACATAAATAAAATTATTATTTTTTTTTACAAAATATCACAATAGTTTAGTTCTGAACTTTTAACAAAGTTTGGTTGAGGTTTAACACACCAAACACAAGTTATGGAGACATAATAGCAGTCATAAAAGTAAAATCTAAATGATAAAACAGATGGTGATCCTCTTCCCATCTTCTCCCTTCCCTGCCCTCCCCAACCATACCCATGGCAAAAAGCAAACAGATATAATGAAGGTTTTTGTCTTTAGTACCACAATCAACTGTTTTAATATTCACACTACCTGTTCTGCCTGGCTTCTATGACGTTCAAGCTCTATTTCTGCATTTCTACTCTGTGCTTCCTTGATCAATAAATCCTGTGCTATGACTTCATTCTAAAGAAATATTTAATAAATTAGGCAAGTTGATAAGTTCATATCAAATGTACTGCATTTTTAGATTTTAAAAAAATAGAATGTGCATAAATTAACACTAATGTTCAAACATTAAAAAAATCTTATTGTAATTACTACTTATAGAACTTTGTTAGAAAAGAAATTTTAAAAAAAAGAGTTAATAAAAAAGCAATCCCAGGAATGCAATTTGGAGGAAAGCTCACCTCAGATCTAAGAAATATTAGTTCTCTCCATAGCTGTTCTGTAACATTTTCAACTGGATCTACCTGAGATAATTCTGATTGTGCAGTAACACGCACAGGATCTGGAAGATTAACTTCAAGTTTACTTTTCAAAATCTCTGCCTGTAAGGGTACTTCACTTTTTCTTTTATCTTCTTTCAAACTATCAGCACATTTTATTTGGGAATGAACCCGCTCATCTTCTGGTGCTGCTATTCGTGAATTATCCATGTCAGCTTTATTATCATGAATTTGTGGACAAAATATTGCAGATTTCTGCCTAAGTGATAACTTCCACATTAAGTCAGAAGCTGTTGATAAGGCTTGTAAAGACAAATTGCTTTCTTGTGTGAAACTTGTCTTCTCAGGTGCTTGATGGCTTTCTGACACTTTCTTCAGAGAGTCATCAGAAGAAGAGTATAGGAAGTTGTGTATTTCTTCATGACTCTCCCTACTAAAGGCACTGACTAACGATTGTAGACATGGTGCTTTAAAAATCTCCCTTATTGTAATAGACTCTGGAGGTGTATTATCATTTACTTGTGTAGATGAAGAATGTCTAGTTAAAGAGACAAAAGAATCCACTTCACTCGCTACACTATGATGAACTTCAGATAACATTCTTGGTAATGATCCTACAGTCATGTTCTCTTCTGACTCTTTCTGGTAAGATTCTGGAATACTGATTGATGCTCTCCTATGCAGCAGTTCTACTTTATCTGAACTCCTAATCTGTATTCAGAATAAATAATGTCTCATTAATCAACCTTTGAATCAACAGATTATTTAAGTAAGAAAACATTTTTTAATTTAACAACTATAAAAAAATAGCAATGTCTAAAATGAGATAATAGAGCAAAAATTAAAGAACTGACAATTTTCTTTATTTTCTCTGTCATAGCAAATACTGTTTACCTTTGAATGTGCTGCATTCATATTTTCAAGGCTCATGAAATCAAATTTTCTTTCTCCCATTCTATTTTCTTGAGAAAAGTTTTCTGTTAGGTTCAGGTCCTCAACTATTAAGCCTACATATAAAAAATATAACAAATTAGACATAGAAATAACTCTCCTATTATTTTAATACTTTCACTCTTTAAAACTAGAATCAAGTTTTAACTCAAAAATGATAGAATAATTATTTCTAAAATCCCTGATAAACATGTAGCCTATACAACCTTCTCATTTAATTCACTTTTAACAAGATATTAGTATGAGAAACTAATATATACTGTATCCTCTCTATCATTCCTATCTGTTCTATATATAGTTAAAAACACATATAACTCTTTGTAATACTTTAAGCAATAAAACAAAATTAAAAAAAAAAGAAAGCAGACAAAAATCTTGAATAATGAGAAAACTGGTTAATATACTAATAAATTATGAATTTTTACTAATATACTGGTTAATATACTAATAAATCTAGAAATTTTTTGGTGTACTATAGGAACTAAAATGATAAAAAAAATACAAAACAAAAAAATGTATTACTCATAGGTATTTATGAACTTAGTTAAAAACAAATTTCTTTTCTGTGGTCTTCAACAGCTATAAGACACTTAACCAACTGTTCTCTTTATATCACGTAAGATAAACAAACAAAAAATGCTAATTTTTATTCAACAAAACATTATACAGTAAATAATGTCTAAAAAGTTTTCAATACATAACTCTCTGAAGCAAAGAAAAAATATTATCAGTAACATATTAACATAAAAAGTACTGTTTTATTATTACTAATCACAACTTACTGACATTGTCTACAAATTAATACAAACTTCACTGTAAACTTTCAGAAGTTCATGATGCTGAAAGTTTGTTTTTTATTCACTTGTTTTGTTGGGTTTTGTTTTGTTTATTTGTTTACCAGTTCCATACTTAGCACTGAACCCAATGACACTCATTTATATAATCTTCATCAGGCCATTATTTTCATTTACTAAACTTGTAGCAGAACCACAGTAATATAGAGATGACATTTTTAACATACAGAAAATTTCAGATACAGACGATTCATTTTCCAATGATTGTTTTAAAGGTTTGGAATAACTGAGTATACCTGAAGTTGCAGTTCTTTTTCCTTTTTCTTGAGCCATTTGGCGGATTTTTTTTTTCAGGTCAAGTCGTTCTTCCTCTAAACTTTCAATCTATAAAGTAAAAATGATTAGTATTTTTCTTTAGCTCAACAAGAAAAATAACCAATTGACTACTGCACTTGCCTCTTTCAAAAGAATCTGGTTTTCGGCTCTGTACTGATGCTGTTTTAAACTTTTGCTATTTCTAAATTCAGTTAAATCAATCATTGTCTTCGGTTCAAGGCCTAAAATAGAAAGTAATGTGATTAAAACCTTATCAACATTCAAATGAACTACAAAAGGTTCATATAGCAGCTAGTTATCATCAAGCTACTCATTATAATTTATTAAGTCACCATCACTACAGAAGAGGGTATATTTTGTGCAAGAACTTTCCTGATGTTTGAACTATAACCCTCCAAGTTTAAATTTTGTCACAATTATTGATGAAAATCCTGACAAAAAATATTTAGGATCTATCTTGTCTATGTTTGCCTGTCATTGAGGAAATGTAGTAATTAACATAATTAAGTCATAGGGATAAAACTGTATAATTATATATATTTTGGCTTGTTGTCAGGGATATATTAAAATCAACCCAAATAAAGAGTTAGTGCAGTGCCTGGCACACAGTGGTCATTATTTAATATCAATATCAAGAATACTGGCTGCTCTGCTTGTGGAGTAGCCGCTCTCTGTCTCATGCTTCACTAATACACTCTCTTTCGTATATTATCATGACTAATCTGGTGCTTCCAGTGTGCATGTCTCATAACTTTCTATTACTTAAGCAGCTATGTTCTGAAAACCAGACATTAAGACTGTCTCAAATAATTATAACCAAGTTTTACAGCCTTTACAGTACAGAAAATCTGCTGTTTTTGACAGCTATCTGGATGGCTCAGTCAACTTTAGGAACTTCCAGATCGAAGCTGGCTATCAAGTGATAAGTCATCTATCAGAAGTGTAACTTGAGGTCCTAGCACGACTCTAGGTCCTAGTCAGACACATTTTTACAGATAAATCATCTGTATAAAATATTTACTTTTCTTTCCTCTAGATAACAGTTTTTACAGATGATCACGTTAATTCTAAGAAAGCATTAACTGGTATTTACCAAGTAAAATAAAATCATTATTTAGATCTTTATTTTCATTTTAAAGTAGCAATTTAGATTGGAATGGCAAAACATTAAAACTGGTAATATTCACTAATAAGGTATTTATTGAAATCAATATATAACTTCTCAAGCTATATTTCTTCTTAGATCAATAGATTCTAAGAAGAATCTATATTTCTTCTTAGAATCAAATACTCAACCAAAGAAAAACTTAAGCAGTCTAAATTATAAAAGTCAAGTACTTAAAAGTCTTAAAAAGGTTTATATAGTATTTCTAAATGTCCTCAAGAATTATGAAACAAAGGCATCTTACAAACTGACATGGGTCACATAGACATTACTCTGAATGAAAAAAAATAAAGGGTTCACTTCTAATATGTGGTATTAACTTAGCAGACTTTCATTTTTAGACCAGCAGTTACTACTGAGGAGATCCTGGCCTGCACAGAGCAGTGCTCCAGGCCTGCCCCCCGCCATCCCAGCCCTACCAAATCCCCAATCCCACGTCAATCAGAGTAGCTCCACTTTTATTTGTTTTAAACATTTTTATAAAAGAATGTATTTTTTTAAAAGACAACTATTTAAAAATAATAAACAATCAAAAAGGAAAACTGAAAATGACTTGACAATTAGGATTGAGCAAAATACATATCTTAAAAGATGACTCACCCACACGCTCTCTAAGTGCCTCATTTTCATCGAGGAAATCATTGATCTTCATCTCAAGTTTATTGATTTCCTTTGTCAATCCTTCAATCTCTCGATCTCTTATTTTAATTTGGTTTTTACAATTCTTTATTTCAATAACAGCATCTTCTAAACCATATACTCCCTAAAAAATACCCATCTAATTTAAATATAACATGATTTATTTGGAATAAATTATTAAACTCATGAATTTATTTTCTTATTAAGTGTGTGGGAAAGTGCACATATACTTAAGGTTTGCATCATTAAACTGTGTTTTTTATTGTGCTTTTTTAAAAAAAAGTCCAATAATGATGACAGAAAATGGAAGAGTTGAAACTTCTCAAAACAGCACCCTAATGGCAAAGTGACTCAGAATATTACATTAAAAGGATTCACAAAACATAAAAAATAAATACTAAGGGTCAATCGGCAATACCATTACAATATGTAAATCATTTCTTGCCTTACTTAGTGGTAATCAGATTTTAAAATATTTAAGAAAAGTGCAAAGTCAGGCTGTGTTGCCATGGTAGGCAGTAAAACAGTCCTTGTTATAACTTTTATCAAACTAACCAGGTGTCACATCTACATGGTGGCATACTGACACAGATTACAAAGAACCTAATCTTGCTGCCTCACCAAAGCTGATTATCTGGCAAATGGTTTGAAAATAATTCTCCTGCCAAAAAGTAAATGCTACTCAAAAGTTTGAATAGTTTAATATAAATTGATTAGGATAATCTTTTTTTAAAAATATATATTTTATTGATTTTTCTACAGAGAGGAAGGGAGAAGGATAGAGAGCCAGAAACATAGATGAGAAGCATCGATCAGCTGCCTCCTGCACACTCCCTACTGGGGATGTGACTGGAATCGAACCCGGGACGCCTGAGTCCACAGGCCGATGCTCTATCCACTGAGCCAAACCTGTCAGGGCAGGATAATCTTTATTATATTTCTGAAATGCTTTTAGATGGTATGCAGTAAATGGCATAGGACAGTTTAACTGTGTCAAGAAAAATTCTAAACTTGACTGACAAGATAAGAATACATACAGATTCATAATCTTTTAATCGCTTCAGAGTCTCAACTAGTTCTTTATCCTTTTCCTTAGCATCAGCCTCAGCCAGTTCAGCTGTTCTCTCAGCCTCTTTAGTCTTCTCTTCTAAAATTTGAACCTTAGATTGCATTTTCATATAATGAGTCTGTTGAGAAAGTGTTGAAGCACCTACAAGGTAAAAGTGAAAATCATAAATGAGTTGAATTGATTACTCATTCCTTTAAATCACTGATTCCAATATAGGTGCAGAAAAGGTGATATATCACTAAAAAAGCCCTTTTAATATCACAATTTCTTATTTATAAAATAAAGCTCTAATTTGGTTGTATTAATAAAACAAACTAAAAAAATAAAGTTCAATAAAATCTCAGCTGAAGGGTTATGGATTGTAAAAGATTGCAAAACACTGCTATACAAAGAATGATCACTATGCAAAGACTGCTAACATTTTTCTAATATTTAACCTCTCTTTGTCCACTGTAATAAACTATGGAATTTTAGCTGGACATATGACCACATGATTAATGCAATACAGATAGAAAAGCCATGTGCACATTTCAAGAAATGGGTGGGGTTTTTTAGGATTTACTGTCATTTATTGAGAGCATCCC